TGAGCATCAGTAAGTCTCTCAGGATCAGCACTGGGAGTTGGGATCAGCAGGCAGTTATCAATGTCTGAGCCCTCGGAAGGGCCTGCCAAGGCTAACGCAGATGCCTGCTGCCTCCCACCTGGGTGGTGTGCTTGTTGACTGCCCAGTAGTGGCAGCTACTCTTACACTGCTGTAATCACCACCAACATCCTCCAGAGAGGACCCCCCCCCCCACTGGAGGGCACTGACAGTGGCGACTGCATGAGTGCCTCCGTTGGGAAGTCCACCCACCCAGAAGTTGCATGAGCACCACCACTTCCCAAGGACACCAGGTGATGCCAGCAGAAGAACCTACTTGGTTGCACTGGGGACAGCAACATCCCAAGCTAACCCTGGGGAAACATTCATAACATTCCCAGCCAGCACTGGGAGTATGATGGGATTTTCAGTCCTGTCTATTTGGAGGGCAGTGGGTTGAGGAAGACTGCTCTGCTCACTTGCATGGGAGGAATTCCTGCCACCTCCAGAACTATGCTGAAGTTTTGTGCTGGTCCTGTGCTGTTTAGTGGCACAGATCCCAAGTTCTGTGCAGCCACTAAATGCATGAAAATGCCATACCAATATGGCAAACGCTAAGCATCCCACATTATTTCTCAGTGTATGCCAAACTTTTGCAGTTTTGTGCCTGAAATCCTGACCTCTGTGCTGCTACCCATTGTGAGAAAATAAAAATGGCTTTTCCTTAAGTCCTTAAGCCATGCCTGGTGAAAGCAAAACACCCACCAAGTAGTGGGGTGGTGAATAGGCTGTGGTACACACATAGCCTGCTCTTGTCTCCAGGTGATTATTTGAACCCGTTCCAAGGCTGCAGACAGGTGTCCTGGATTACCTGACTGGAAAAGATCAGTTCACTGCAGTTCATATCAGCACTAGCCAGCACAGTGAAAGCTAAGAAAAGATGTAGGCCAAGCATCTGGAAGGCTGTACACCTGTGGTGCATATTCATGGGGAAGCTGTGGTTGGTGGGAGCTTCTGAATACTCAGCTAAGTGTGGAAACAAACAGAATTAATCAATAGTAATAATATAGAATCTAAGTGATTGTGTCAGGACAAAATGAACACTCTCTCCCATAATATGCCTGCTGAAAGTCTGACACTGTAGGAGCACCTTTAGACTTAATGTGGGTTTCTGATCTGATCAAGAATCCATGTTGAAAGTCTTTTTTTTTCTGAAAAGAAATAAAGTACAGAAAAGAAAAAAAATGGAAAAGAAAAATAAGAATGCCAAGGGATCGTACACAAATATACATTCATAACCCGCAAATTCTCAAAAAAGCCCAATTTTTTAATCTTTCTGTCAGTAATTTGTTGAAGCTTGAAACCATTTACCCATCACTTCAAGACAATTATAACAATATTTGTTGAGCTTCTCTTTGATCTATATTAATTAAACTGTATATCATAGAATTTCCATTTATCATTAAATTCTTCAATTGACTTTCTGCTTACATAATTAGTTAATTTTGCCAGCACTGTGTACTCAGCCAACTTATTTTTCCAATCTTTAATTGTTGGGCATTCTGCTGTTTTCCATTTGGAAGCAATTGTAATTCTTGCTGCAGTTGTCATATATTTAAATAACTGACATATTCTTTGAAAAAATCTCTGGCATTATATTCAGAAGCATATTCTTAGGACTCATAGGAAAGTTGATTTTAAAGGTTGTCTGTATTTCTGCAGGTATCAACTTCCAAAATCTTTAAATTTTCTCTCAAGTCTACCATGTACGGTAGAAAGTTCCACCTACTTTTTTACACTTCCAACATTTTCCATTACAATTCTTGTCCATTTTTTCTATATCTTTCAGGGTAATGTACCACCAAAAAAATTTCTTATACCAGTTTTCTCTTAATGCTTGACTGGCTGTGAAATAAATACCTTTCTTCCGTAAAACTTCCCATTGGCAGGGAGAATTATCTTCTCCAAGGTTCTGCATCCAAATTATCATACATTTCTTAACCTGCTGAGTTTCAGTGTCAAATTGAAGTAATTGCTTGTAAAATCTTCCTAAAATATGATCCTTTTGTTGCATAATCAGCTTTTCAAATTTTGTCAGGTCTTTTACAGTACCTTTCCCTGATTGGATTTCCCTTTTCAGTCTTGAAACCAATTGGTACTTCTATATTTTATATTCTATAAAAATATTTTCCCTTCATCTTTTAGTTGTTGCCAAGACTCAACTTGTCCTTGTTGATTAGTCATATCCCCATAGGGTACAAGATAATTGTTTTTCCTTAAATACTTTCCATATGCTTCAACTGGAGACATCAAAGGAGAAATCGGAGGACTAATTCTTTTTCTTATAGAATACCAAATTTTTATTAAGCCATCTCCTAGTACATGATTATTGTTTGATGTCAAGACGTTCTTAACTGACTTTTTGGCCCATAAATAATTGTGTATTCCTTCAAGATCTGCTATTTCCATCTTCACTAACATTAAAATTTAGTATCCAGTCTGAAATCCAAACTAAGCCTGCTGCATAATAATATAGCTTTAAATTAGGTACTGTGAGACCTTGCCTCCCTTTTTCATCTTGAAGAATTTTAAATCTAATTCTTGGTTTTTTACCATTCCAAATAAAAATGCTCAATTGTCTTTGCCACTCTTGGAGTTTTTCCTGGTATAGAAATTGATATAATCTGAAATAGAAAAATCATTTTTATTGTACATTCATTTTTATAATAGACATCCTTCCCAACCATGATACTTTTAATTTAGTCCATTTTTATAGATCTTTTTGAATCTTCATGTTGTTTTACAGTTATCTTGAAATAATATGTCATTATGTCCAGTTATGTTTATTCCTAAATATTTGACCAGATTTGAAGTTATTTCACATATTGAAGTCTTTTTATACTTTCCTCTTCCTGTTTAATTGCAAACTTTATTATAATTTTTGTTTTCTTCTAATTGACATTATAGTCTGAATAAAGTCCAAATTTTTCAATTAGGTCTATTATATATTGTATAGATTGATATGGATTTAAAATGGTCAAGACTATGTAATCAGCATAGCATTTCATTTTGTATTCTTCTCCATCTACATTTAAGCCTTTAAATTTTGGGATCTTGTCTTATTTTTATTGCTAAAATTTCCAGTACAAGAACAGAAGAGGTCATAGAGGGCACTCTTGGCATGTTCCTGTTAAATAAATAAATTTCATGTTGGGGGCGGAGGAGGAGTCTGAAAGGAAGCTGAAAGGAAACCATAATGTAGATGCTACACAGATGGTATCTTATACCATGAAAACTGAATAGGATATCCTGGGCAGATCAGTTTGGCTGCTGGAAATGTTCTGTGTTCGATCCTAGCTTTTAACTAGGATGTTGCAGTACTCCAAATGTTTCCAGATATTGGGGTACTGTTACTGAAATAATTTATTAAATCACTTCTGAGTAGACATGCATAAGGTCACACTTAGATGTTTTAAAATGATTTTGTAGACTTTAACTGAGGATACTAACACAAATATGAATGTGTACTTGGCAAAACCAATGAATGGGCTTCTACTTCTGTAATGTGAAATTCCCTCTTCCTTCCCTCCAAAGACCCTTATATCCCCTCCAAATTATCTCTGGGGTCCCCTAAATCTCAAAAGCAATGCTTGAGAGCACAAGAATTGTTTGCATCCCATTTCAGTTATAAGAAGCTGCTCCCACTGATGGCTTCTGACTTAGCACTAGCAGCTGCATCTGCCTAGCAGTGGAAATTAAGGACTGTGCCAGAATTCTTGGAGTAAGCCTGACATAATGGGAATGCTGATCTTTGTTAGACATGCTTGGAGAAAGGAAGTTGCAGTAATACAACTTAATGGACACCCAGTTCCCCACTTAGGAACATCTGAGTTAAAACCAACCCCTACTTACAAACCCGGAAATCCTGCCACATCCTCCTTGGGCAGCAAGCAGGTGCCTGCAGGCCACAGGTGGTGAGCAGGCAGGTGGCAAGCAGTGAGGAGAGGAAGGAAGGAAGGAAGGAAGGAAGGAAGGAAGGAAGGAAGGAAGGAAGGAGGAAGACAGGGAAGAATAGGAAGGGAAGAAGGAAAGGCTAGAAGGAGGGAAAGGGAAGGAAGTAGGAAAGAGCAGCAAGCAGCAAAGTTGGAATTAGTTCCAGCTGATACATCTTATCATAAATAGTTCCATAGTGGTGACAGAACTACCACGGACACTACCATTTCCAAGCCAGTGTGTTTTAAATCACATGGAGTTTGTGTTGCCTTCTGTAACTTTGTACTATATTTGGTTTGTAATCATGCCTCCAACACCAGTTCAATATTCATTATCATCAAGTTAATGTTAGGTTTAATGTTAGCTCAAGACGTGTTAATCTTTAATAATCTCATTACTATTTTTCTGTATTTCTATCTAAACTGCCTTAAGAACTGTACTGCATACCTTCACAAATAAATACAGATTCTCTTGCTCTCTCTTCTGAACCTGTACTCATTTTATTATTATTGTATTATCATTATTAAAATGCTGTATTGTTTTGAAGATGTTTTAGTGCATATGGACATGGAAATAATTTAATGTATGTTCAAAATCTCCTAACAGTATAATAGCGTTACATCAATCCAATTTGTATAAAACTCATTGTTAACCATCAAATGTTTCAATCTGCTGTGCATGGCAGTTAATCATAGTTAGGAAATGTGGGTCCATGATGATAACTTTCAAGAATAACTTTTAACACATAGTCTAACTTACTGGGCACAGTTCTCAACATGAATTTTGTAAGTTTCCATGAAAAATATTTTATATACAATATATTTTATATTATAATCTACTTAAATATTACTAAGGATAATTAAGGGGGAAAGGTTATACTGGAAAAATATATAACTACTGTTAATTACTGGAACATATCCCTAATTTTGTACAGCGTTATAGCATTGTAGGATTATATTTGTTTTTTTTAATATACAGAGAAAAATAGTCCTTTTAAAGCAACACATTAGTAAAGATAATAGAAACATATATTTTATTGCCAAAACATGATTAAGGGTTAGAGATATGTTATGCTAATTGCACAAAAGCATTTTATGTGTAGCAGTAAAGATTTATTTAAAACATTTTTACCTTGTCTTGTATACCAGACAGCTTACCAAAAAACCAATATCATAATAGCACAGCATAAAAAAATTCCAATATAGAAAAATATATAGTAAAAGCCATTCACTATTATATAATAAAATCATTCAGCCATTAAAATACTGGGTAAATAAAACGGTTCTGGCCTGGTGCTGAAATGAATAAAGCGCTGGCACCGGGCACACCTCTCTGGGGAGCAGGTTCCAGAGTTGGGGTGCTACCATAGAAAAGGCCCTTCCCTTCTAGCCATTCTTCTAACCTTTTTTGGAGAGGGCTCCCAGAAATGGATCTCAGCAGAATATCTCAAAGTTAGGGCAGGTGTATATGGAAAGGGACATTGTTGGTAGCTGTATGTAAGCACTTACCATCCTGAAGTTCCTGTTAGCCTCGGAAGAAAGTTTCTGTTGCTACTAATGGAGATTCCTGTGGCATAAGAGTCAATGTGGTGCAGTGGTTAAGAGCACAGGACTGGGCTCAGCCATGGAGCCAGCTGGGTGCTACATAAGAGCAAGCTCTTCCCTCCAGAACTGGCCTCAGCAACATAGGTCTTCCTGCAGCTGCAGTGCCAGCACCTTGCCCTGCTTTCCTGCCCTGCCGTGTTCCCTCAGCAGCACAGGTCCTCCTCCAGACGGATTGCATCGGACCTATGTTCCAGATATATTACAGAGTTCTCTAGAAAGTCCAGATAATAGGTAACTTAAAAGGTGTTGCCTAACACTTATTGCATGGACATAAAATCTGAATCACCTTAAGGATGTTGTGAACTGACACTAATTTGGCCCCTCTGTGTCCACATCTGGTGGAATTACACTCTAATCACATCCTAAGATTTAGCAAAAGGAAAGGCACAGTTGATATATTGTACTTTAGTTAAAAAACGTGTACTTTGGACAAAAAGACGTGTCTGCAACATTGGACAGAAGATGGCTTGGATAGAACCAGATTAATTTGGTGCAAGATAAACTGCTTTGGTCAGAGTAGATTCCATTACTATGGAGACTTTCACAGGTTTATTTTCATTTGTGAACAGAAATTCTTCTTCTGTCATCTTCCTGTTGACCTAAACATAAGTAAAGGTTTTGAAATGTGAGTAGAAGTTCCCTGCTGTGAGCTGACTGTGAGATCTCTCTCACGGTTGATCCCACCGGTGGCTGGATGAGCCACATTCTCCTTGGCTTCCTCTTGAGGAGGCCAAGCAGAATCGGGCTCTTCCCCTGGACGGCCTGCCATTGCACATGCTCAGCAGTAGTGCTGGAGATGCCCTGGGCTTGGGCTTGTGTTCACGAAGGCTGAGCACAATGTGCCCCTTCCTCACCCCATCAGGGGGCAGCGTTACCATGGTCTGTCCCACGCTGGCCCGATGGCCCACTTGGAGCTGGAGGGAATGGCCCATGGTGGACCCTACTGGCGCCACAACACACTGCCTCCACATGCTCCAAACAGGGCTTGATGGAGCAGTGTGTGGCAGCAGGATTGGCCAGGTGGGGTTGCCAAGGCTTGCAAGTCCCTGCATTGACCAGTCAGAACAGGATGGCTTAGGATTGTGCCCTAAGTCATTTAGTGTGCGTTAAAATCATAAATCCCCTGCATGGAGGATTTGCCATTACCAAGGGACTTGTGTAGCGCAATGAAGCTATGAGCTATGCCGTGCAGGGCCACCCAAGACGGACAGGTCATAGCAGAGAGCACTGACAAAACGTGATCCACTGGAGAAGGAAATGGGAACCCACTCCAGTATCTTTGCCATGAAAACCCCATGGACAGTATCATCAGGCAAAGAGATGTGACACCGGAAGAGGAGCCCCTCAGGTCAGAAGGGGTCCAATGTGCTACTGGGGAAAAGCAGAGGACTAGTACTATAATTTGCAGGTTTCCCTTAGTAGGCTTACCTTAGTAAAAAGATCCCCAATATGCCATTGCATACCATGATCAGCAAACACTTCGTCCATTGTTGTAATCATTGGTGATCCATGGTATTTATCACGGATTGCTATGAATCCTGGTAATGAGAAAATCAAGCTAGCTCATTTTGAGAAGGCTATGCAATTAAATCCTTTTTTGTTTATTACCCCCACTCAGATTCTGTTCATGTTAACAGTAGTACTGTAAAGCTTAAAGATCCTCAACCTGGGTCTAATACAGCATTTGTGTTCTAAGCACACAAACAAGAGGCAGCTATATACTTTTTAATTTAATTGTTTTGGAAATACATCTCACCACAGTGTGGTTCAAGTGCTAAAGTGTTCTATAAATGGGCAATTGTAAGGCCCTCATTCTGCGTTTGCCCATTATGGTAAATCCATTAATGGCAGGATGTCGTGTCGTGTGGACCAGGGCCATTTTCCACAGGGTGCTTGTTTATGGACAACAAGCCACCCTGACTGGGGTTACTAGACCCACAGTGGACTGTTTCATCATCCAACCCTAGACAACCAACTGCGTTGTGTCTGCAGGAACTGGCCAGCGAGCTTGTTAGCAAGAGAAGTAAAACCCTGTTGTTGCTCTTGCCAAGCCATGCTAATGCCCAGGTGGCGCTTTGAAGCACCTGGCACTGAACGAGTGTCCCACACAGTGATCACTAGACATTTTACTCCTTCCAACTTCCTCCTTGCTTTTTTTCTTTTCTGAAGATCACAAAAACCGGATTAACAGCTAGTCTTTGGACCGCCACTGACAAATCCCTTCAAAATGCCCAGGTGACACAGAGCGGGGGCTGCAAGTAGTTAGCAAACTTTTTAAAATGCATCCATAATATGCATAAATGTTGTTTCTTTCTTTGTTTTTTGGCCACAGTTGCAACCGTCTAGCTCCAGCAGCACTTTGGATCTTTCTCACCTCCTTGCCCTTAGAAAACCCTTCTCCAAGACTGCTCTTGCTGCAACAGCTGCAAACAGATCCCAGCTCCAGCTTAAGCAATGTTTTGACCTTGGAGTTGGGAATCCAAAGAATTGCTCTGTAAATAACACCAGGTGAAATCTCACAAGAAAATTTAGTAAAACTTCAGGTGCACAGGATATGTTTTCTGAGCTCTTATTTGCTTCCTCACCTTTCACTGATATCTCAAAAGATACTGGAAGCAGAATAAACTATTTAAATATTTGTCAGTGTACTTACATTGCAGTTTATCTTGTGGACTTTTTTTTCCTTATTGCTGCTTTTTAATACCTCACCATAGATAAACCCAGAGCCTTCACCCAGCAGTTGGCCCCTGAGGTTTTCTACAAAAGCCTGTTATTAATCAGTTTCTTAGAAGAACCGGGAATGGGGAAGGACACAAGGGAGAGCTTCTTTCCTGCCTTTTTGCTATATAATCTCTATAGCAGCACAGTAGAATAGCTCAAATGAACAAGAGGAAATCCCACTTTCTTTCACATTCATGATTGCATGTTGTCGCTTCCCTGCTCTAATAAACCTTTCTGTAAGAGTACTAGTTAAAGACAGAAGCAAAAATGGAGGGTTACATCACTGTCTAAAGAATAAGTAAACAACCATGAATAGGGAAAAACAAGTACATGATAAATGTCTCATTCAGCAATCTTGCTTATGTTAATTGTGCCAGACAGTTCAATTCTACACATGCTTCGGCGAATGGGGCGGCATAAAAATGTTTTAATAAATAAAAAAAATAAATAAAAAATGTTTGCTCAGAAGTAAGTCTCACTGAAGCCAAGGAGGCTTAGTCACAGGTAGGTCTGGGTACAAGGTTGTAGTATTGTTGAAGGCAATGAATCCGAATACAGTCGTAACTAACTTGTTCTGCATTCTATCCATTGTATTTATCCCATTAATTTCACTGGATTTAATTTAGATGTTCACCTGCAGGAATATTTGACTTATTCTTACCTGGTTGAGATGAATAGACAATGAAGTAGTCACTGGCTGTGGGCAGCTTTTGATTTATCATATCGGATACCATAGCCTGATCATCTGCTTCGACTCCATAGTCTCTGTTTGCTGTTGTTATGAGAGAATGAAAGCTTTCAATAATGCAATGTGATAGTTGATTAAAAAAAAAAGAAATGCAAATATCAAAATAACAGAAGGTCTAGCTTGGATTCTGGGTGAAAATTGTAATTACATGGGTGGGTTCAGTACCTAAACTGTTGTTTTGCTCACAGCAGTGAAGCTGCATCACCAGATGAAGCTGGCAGGATGTTATAGAAGGTCCAGGAACAAAGCTGTCTGCAATCAACCCCCACAGCTTTTGTAGGATAATTGCCTGTTTCAGTGAGATTAAAGCCCCAAATGGGGCTTCTATCATGTAAAAGGTACTTTAACATCCCACAAGTAATTGCTAGTTTTCTTTCATTAAGGAACAATGCATCCACACCCACCCTTAGAGGTCTCTGGGGAAGTCCAATTTTAAAGCAGTCTCAGTAGAAATCTGTTGCAGATATATTATTGATGTAGATATGGGTTATACTGTTTTGGGCTGAGGCACTCAAAAGGCAGCTGCTTGAATGTCATATTGGGCTTCCTTCTTGTAAACTCATGTTTATAGCAGTGGTGGGAAGTGCCAAAAATGTGGAGGGCTGTGCCATGTCAGGCAATGTACAAAAGCATTGCCAAAAGTCTCTGTTTATTACACAGATTTCTATCCTGCCCTTCAACAGAAATTCTTAGACACTTTCTGCTCCACTCCATCTTTTCTGTAGGGTTGGCAGCTGCATCTGTCTCAAGGCATTGGTTTGCTGACCTCACCCTTCCATGACGAGAGACAAATTTCCTGTTCTGTTCACATCATGTGCCTGCTAGTGCAGCTAGCACCAGAAGTAGAGTGATGAAAGAGAAAAGCCACAGAATTGGCTTTTATATTTAAGAAGATTGGATTAATTTTAGAGATCTACTCACATCCTCTGCAGCTTTGAATTATAAATATTTTAGGCTTTCGCCTGAGCTTTGGGAATTCCTTATTGTTGAAAAATGAGAATACTTCTGCAAGAGAGATTGGGACGTCTTTGAGGCAGATGTGGTCATCTAACTTTCCATGGCCCATAAGGGAAATCAAACAGCAGCTGATTTCCTCATCTGAATTGTTGATTGTTTCCCTGAAATCTTGTAGTTTTTTCTTTAAGTCCTGTTAAAGAAATCAATGTTGTTCTTATCTATCACTTATAAAGTGCCTACTGTTTTGCTGAGTGCTGTACAGAGACTAAACGGTTAGAAAATATCATCTCATAGGCTCATAGGTAGACAAGACACATGGAGAAAGAGGGTTTGGGGTGGGGAAAGAAAGGCAAGCAAATTCAGGCACCGCTTCCTGAAGTTATACTATTGCAACAGACTTACAAAATCTAGAACTTTTCTACAGGAGGGCACTACTCACTGCCTCTACTTCCGGTTTCACGGCAGAATTAAGATCCAAGCTTTTTCCTTCCTACTTTTCTATTATATAACCACAGTAGGAGTGGGGCTATAGTGACATAACAGCCTCCTGAAAAAACCAAAATGGCTGAGTGCTCTGAAAAAAATGGCAGTCAAACTGGAGAGACATGGTGTGTGCTCAAGCTTCCCTGCTCAGGAATCCTGAACATACGATAAATGCCTCATGTAGGACAGGAAGGCCTCCTGTCCTACATAAGGCAAATGCATGCAAACCATAGGCCAGGCTTAGGGGTAATCTCTTGGTGGTCTTCCTGGTGGGACGAGAGGCGCAAGCCACCCGCCACAGCTACTTCTGCTGTCGCTGATGAGTAGGGCCAGCTTGGGCTTCCCCTTGCCAGGACATCCTTTCTGGGAGGCTGGGAGGCAGACTGCTCGTGACACCGGCCCTGGAAGCGGCTCCGCTTGTCCTCCGCTCGAGTCACCAGGCCATATTATGTGACCTAATTGCAATAACTGGACTGCATTTCCACATCCAGTTCCCTGAGAATAAGCCCTACTGAACACAGTGGGACCTTTTTATGAGTAAACCTGTGTAGATTTACACAGCATATGGTCAAAATCCATTTGTCAATGAGAAAAAACACAGTAAGTTTTAAATATTAAATACTGATGACAGTGCCAGACTTGTAGGTATCCTCACTAAAGTTATTATCCTGTAAACATGTTTGCTGGCCTGCTAAAAGGAAAGTTTCCCAGCCCAGCTGGTTGCAGAGGGTGGGGGAAAAGTCCCCTTTGCAGTTTAATACTAAAAACTTAACAGGCTAGGATTTTTAAAGCTTTCTACCCCAGCAAGATGGCTGAAGAGGGTGGAGGGCTTGGTGCCTCCCCAGCAGCCTGCTGGATTAGGGTACTGGCTGAAGTGGAAACTGCTCCTCTTTACAGGTGGCTGGTGAAAACTGCTGGGGTCTAGGCAGAGTTCTCCATCGCTCCTCCACCATCCTGCTTCATTTCAGTGCAGGAAGAGAAGTCCTTCCCTCCACAGCACACACAGAAATGCAGCGGCCTGGCATAGGGGGAGCGCAGCATCCCATCCTTCCTTGGTCTCCCTTAGCCGGCCTGCTTATATTTGTATCTCTCCATGTTGCCTGGGGCAACCGAGTCCGCTGCTAAATACCAGACTGTCTTCAGGGGCTGCTACAGGAGGATATAGGTAGAAACATTTGGAATGCATTTAGGAATTCTGCATCATAAATTCTACAGGTCCTTCTGGATGGATGGAGCCTAGCACTATCAAACAAATAATACTTGAGCAGTTTTTCCATCTTTCCCTTATTAACAAATTCTGGTGTTTTGTTTTGTTTTTTAAATTATAAAAGAATCAGTGGGAAAACAGAGGAAGGGTGCAAATGAAAGATGGCCTTGTCTGGACTCTCCCATGAAATTTCATGAAAAGACCGGGCAAATACACAATACCAGCCTTCAGAAGCACATAGTAACGTTTTGGGAAATTCCTGCCACAGAGATTTGGAAAACTAAGTTAGGGTAGGGATGGGCAACTTGTAGCCTTCCAGATGTTTTAGCTCCCATCAGTCTTAGCCAGCACAGCTGATTGGTGAGGCATGACAGATGTTCTTGGCCCAGACATGAGGACGGCCAGGCCACAGGTTGCCCAGTCCTGAACTGGGAGGAAAGTATCTTTTAGAATCTCTATTTTACATCAGTGTTAATGTATTTAATAATGTCCTTCTGGATATTTTCTTCTTTTTTCTGCACTGTAGAAGATGTCACTTCTGGGAAGTTAGGATTATCAACAGCAAAAGAGCAATGAGATCATAATGCCTCATATAAGAATATATTTACTGACTTCTATATAGATAGCCACTGAAAAATATATGCTGTGCATGGCTATGATCAATTAAGACCAACCAGTATTATTCCTGTAGTGTTTATGAAAACATGGACTGTTTTATCATATGAGCACATGTATTTGCCCCAAGTCTGTGTGTGACACTGCACTTCCAGCTGCAGCTTTACTGGTTCTGTTGGGACAAAATGGTGGGGTCCAGCAGCAATGCATGGGTTGATGAGATGCCAAGTCTGTTAGCTTGGAGTTGGCTACCCCACAACTTGGAGTTGGCATTAATAGGTCATTACAGGCATGCATCCTTGCAATTCCTGGTTTAATTAACCCACATTACCACTGAACACCATTGTTTCATCCAAACAGGGTCAACTTTCTGCATGTAACGTTGATGCGACACAGTTTGGAGAGCAGGCATTTATATATGCAATGCATTTGCACACCTGATTGGTCATGTCATCTTATGCCAAACCCAGAAATTTCTTTAGTCCCACTGTGGCTGCAGAACTAAAGCACAAATGGAAGCAAAGGTACCAGGAAGCATGGCATAATATTTAGCCATACCACTCTAGGCTAATGTGGCTAGTCCATATGGAATAGCAGAGGTCTGTTTGTAATTTCCATCTGACTTGCACATATCAACTACCCAGCACCCTCCTATCTGGAAGTAAGGCGTCACAGCAGTTTTGACTTTGGAGATATGAAAATAACAGGCTTATTTTTAATTGGTGCAACTGAGAAAGTGCTACATATAAATTATTATTGAGTTGTTAATGTATATGAATTATTATTGTATTCTTTGTGGCTTTAAAAGTCTGATTTGTTTTACAGTGTGTTATGTGGCGAGGGCTTTAAATTTTATTCTGATGTGAATACTTAGTGAATTATTTCTTCAGGATTTAACAGGTTTTTTGCACTGATACTGTTGTGGTACAGAAAATTCATCCTGAACAAATACATTTCATTTCAAGTTAAAAATTTCAAAACACTTACTTTCAGAGAAGGATCTATGCACTCTGTAGGAGTCTTAAAGTCAAATGTTTTACAGATTTTTTTCATTATTTCAAAGTCAATTTCTGCACCAGGTCTATCTACTTTCATACACATCAAGAAAGCGACACGCTTTTGCTTCATATCATAGCAATCCTGAAAATGCAAAATAGTTTCATTTAGATTGTGCTACATCTTTCTACCTGAGATTTGGAGTCAAATGCTCCCCATTCCCTTATCTGTACAGCTCGTTTTACAAACAAGGGTGTCCTTATGAGAAAGGGTCCTTTAAAAACGCATGCACCCAAATTTTAGAGCAAATGTTATATTAATATATGCATATTTGTTTGTATTTTGTGTCCTATGGGCCTGTAATATGGATATTTTTATTCCATCCAACACGGATCGTCTCTGAACAGCTTACAATATAATACATCAACCAATAACAAGATTGGTACCTAACATAGGATTTTGCCCTAATTTAACTGGCCCTAAAAATGATGCAATTCTGAGAAACAGACAGGCCTGATTTACCAGATCAGGTCCACTGATGTCAACATGATTTCTGGCTCCCTTAGTTTTGCTTTCAGTGCTGGATTTCCCTGTCTTCTTGGGAATGTCTGTTCCCTTGTCCTCTACAAGGCAAAAAGACACAGTTCAGTTAGTCTACTATTAGTTATTACCTAGGCCCATCTGGTTCTTCTGCATCATATTGCCTGTCCATGCATTGCTTGACATTCACACAATCCTAAGAGCAAGAAAAGCTGTACTGTATCAGGCAAAGGACTATCTCATCCTGCACCTAACATGACTGAGTTGGTTTATTAAATTTGTATCCTGCCCATTTTCCTCCAAGGAACTTGGTGCAGTTTATATGGTCCTTCTCCTCTCCAATTCATCCATGCAACAACCCTGTAAGGCCAAACAGGCTAAGAGCCAGTGACTGGCTCCAAATCATCCAGCAAGTTCCATGGAAGAGTGGGAACCAGAACTGGGAATACTGGGAATCTCTTTAGTCCAAGTCAAAAATTGAAATCACATTATATATGTCTAACTCTCTGTCTCTTGTGAGTCTTGTATTTTGGTTTCAAAATCTCCTCCCACAGGCTTTCCTTCTCATTTTCCTAGAAGATGAGCTGTATGTTATAGGTCTGATTTTCTGTTTTGCATAGGAAAAAAGGACCTTTTTCTTCTTAAGCTGTTGCAGTTCCATTTTCAAAGGAGAAGATAACTCAGGCTGACGGGACTGATGGTCATTTCACCATTCCCTGCCACCTGACTTAATCAAGTGGAAGATAAACATCAGCTTAGTTGGGATTTTGGTCTGGAAAATGCAGGCACACCAAGCAGCTGATAGCAGTTTAGCTTCAGTTTTGCACTTGGCTTGCAAAAAGCTGGTTTGCAGGTTTCTGGGTTTGATAACACTCCTACTGTGACTGATGCTGTCCGTATATTTGCTTCTTCACCATTCACCCTCATAATGGCTGCTCAATTTGAAAGTAAGTAATTATAATCGAATATATGCTTCCACTGCAGTCTCCCCTAACCACGTACTGGATCACGATTCCCATCTGGAATGCACCAGCTGGAAAAGGCTGTTCTACTCTGTTCTCTTTATTGTGCAATTGCAGAAGGCTCATAATGTTGTTACTTAATGATGTTTCACTTTTAAGCAATCTTTCTGAGTTTTCCGACTGCTACTTCCATCCTTATATCACCTTTGGAATTCCTTTCCAAGGGAGTTGTGACTGCCAAACACTTTATCTTGCTTTTGGCACCAAGTTAAGACCTTTTTATATAGTATCTGGTTTTAGATTGAACTATTGGTTTGCTGCTGGTTTATTTTTTTCGTGGTTGTTATAGGTTATATTGTGTTTATATTTCCTCCTGTTCTATTTCTGTAGTTGTATTTATATTGTATTTCAATCCTATTACATTTTATGTTTTTGGCTATTATTTGTTATTCATTTTTATTTGTATTTTTATATTGCACTGCGAGCTGCCCAGAGAGCCACTGGCTATGGGGCAGCATACAAATGCGACAAATATAAATAAATAAATAAATAAATAGGAGGATAGCATCCACAGGGACAGCTCACAGTGCTAGCAATTGAAATATATGGAGCAACCATTCCATCTTACCATTTTTTGTTGTTGCTAAGAAGGTGGGGGGGGCACAGGATGGTGCTTGCCCCTGGATGAAAGGGCACTGGCAGTGAGCGGTTCTCTACAGCAGGCATTTAACTGTACACTCGTGATCCCTCAGTCACGGGCATCTGCAGGGGATCCAGCAAGCTGATGCTGTGCAGATCTGAAGCTTCTCCCAAGGACTTTCTCCTTTAATTGTACCGTCAGTAACATACTTATGTCGTACATTTGACAACACTCTCAACAGATTACTGCTAAGTCTCATGTTTTATTAACTTACATATCTGGTGCTAAACTTCCCAATAGTCAAAAATGGTTTTTCTGCTTGAACACTGCCTGCAGGAGTCAAGAGTTCACCATTTTGCTTGACATTATTCACTAAAGCAAAACCCTGAACTGGACGTCTTAAGCTCCTTTTGTAGAGAGGAACGTCTAAGCTTTATTGTCAGGGTCTGATTTTGAAAGTTTCAATTTGGGATTTCTAGCATTGTCTTCTCCCTCTCCTGTTTCTGGTTCACAACTCAGGTATTCTACTGGCTGCAGAGTGCAAGGGCGGACATGTTGGAGGGCCTTCATGCCTAAGTCGGAGTCGACTTGAAGGCACATAACAAAAGAGCGGTATGTAAACTTTGCAGAAACCACCAAAAAACCCCCCCACTAAGTATTTGGTGGTAATCTCAGCGTCTGTGGTTTGTTCTGCTGTAACGGGTAAGGCCCCACCTTCCTTGCTTTGACTCGCCCTCGCACGAAAATGACTGGTAAGCCGTGGAAAGTCCCTGGAGGACGCCGCCGCTCTGAAAAGCCCCGCAAACTTCCGCGAGGAACCAGGCGCGCACAGCGGACGCAGCCTGCTTACAAGTCCCCATACAATATTTCCCCAGACGGCGCCAAGAGTCGCTCGCGATATCGCTTGCAATTCGCGCTCTATCTCAGCGCCCCCTTGTGGAAGATCTAGGGACACACAGAAAGGGAGGCTGGAAAAGTGGACGGTTGCTGTGAAGGACATTCTACCCATCCGGCAAAGCAAGTGAAGAAAATGGGTAGCGTGGGTACCCATACCCTATATGGGTAACATGCCGGGCTAAATTGCAGAGAGCTTCTAACGCTTGGAAAGCACTGCGGAACTATTCCGGCTTTTTTCCCCTTTCCACGGATTTTCTGCAGTTAAAAAAAAGGCAGAAAAAGCGGTTGGAAAACTCGGGATGGTTAAGAGAGGAAGAGCGCGCTGTCTGGAATCCCGACCCCCACCCCTCTAAAAAAAAAAAAAAAAGCAATAAAAGTGCACAGAGAATCTGCGGCAGGAAAGGTGGCATCGCTGAGCCATCGGGGTTTTTTTTAGTAACGCTGCGAGCGCTTTCCTTCTGGAAACCCTAGCCCTAACCGCAGCTCCAACATGGCGTTGCTCCTTCGTCCTAATGGCAGCGCCCTCATCCCCCTTTCCCGCGTATACTTACGGATAGTATTAAGCCAGTTCTCCAGCTTGTTAGCCTCCTCATTGGAGGGCAATTTGCGTAGCAACTTCACGGTTACCCTGCCAGCCCGACCTGGATAATGCTGCATCAGGAGATCCGCCAGCTCATAGGGGGTACTCAGTGGCTCCAGGACATTCCAGGGGATCTTGCTGTGCCCCTCTTTTTCTTCCTCTTTAGAAAAGTCATTTAAGTCGGACTTCAGTTTCTTGATTTCCTTATCTGTTAATTCACTCAAGGCAGCTTTGATCTTCTCCTTTTCCATTTCTTAAGCTTTCTCCTGCAGGGTCCTGGATGCCCCTGCGCTGATTTTGAAATACCGCCTGTCCACATATACTTTCGGTTTCGTAGGAAACATCGTCAGCCTCCCGTCTTTCTTTGCTCCCCCCACCCCCACTTGCTGTTATGCTTAACCTTGAGGCATTTTCTGCCTTTTTGCCCACATGAGATTCACCTTCTGGTGTACCCCTTTAATCTTTCTGCCAGAGGGTCATTTCCCCTTGAAATCATACGCACTCCTCTCCTCCTTCATACATCCCTTTTTATAGATAAGGGTGCCCTTAGCAGACATGGTTATCAAAACACAGAGAGACTTTAGAGCGCATGTAAAATAGCATATGAAATTCCTGCTTTTTTGTCTTTCTTGGTACCTAGTAATGCCCCTGTGCTGATCTCTGAGTGATGATTTTGAGAGCCCCTGGACTTCTGTCCCAAGGTGCATGTCTAGCTGAACCACTGGACATGCTGGTCCTAAATCACAACCACGCTGCAAACCTGTGCTCCAAAGTGAGAGCCAGTGTGGTGCAGTGGTTAAGAGCGTGGGACTGGGACTCAGACGATCTGGGTTCTAGTCCCCGCTTGGCCATGGAGCCAACTGGGTGACTCTGGGCCAGTCACAGACTCTCAGCCCAATCTACCTCACAGGGTTGTTGTGGGGATAAGATAGAGGAGGAGATGTAAGCTGCCTTGAGCCCTTTGTAGGAAAAAGGCAGGATATAAATCAATCAATCAAAGTTAGCCCTTTTGTGTTAAATGGAAAATGTATATAGGCCAGTAGCCTTAAATTATGCTTTCCCCCCAGTTAATTTCTATGGACAAGCATCAGTTCTGCCTTGAGAAGATGGAGGTGGACTCCAAAATGAACTCAAAAGATAGCAAACATTGGTCCACTCATCTATATCAAATCTGCGTGGGACTAGTTGAAGACATTGTGTTGCTTGGTGTAAAGAGGAAATGGTTTGCCATTCCTACCAAGGCACAAAAGATTAACTATGCAAGTTATATTGGTGGCTGAAGTGGAAAATTCCTGATGAGTGGCAGTAGGAAAGGCCCACTTGGGCATGAGCCCTGGATTTTCTGAACTGTGCCCTGAACCTTTAAAACTGCCCCAGTTGTCATAATCTCCCTGCATACAAGCCAGCCTATTTCCTCTGTGTTCAGTGGCCTTGCAATTAATAAGAGACTTGCTATAAATGTTTAAATTTGGCTGCGATGCCCCTCTGATCAGCCAATATTGTTTGCTACGGAAGAGACAGGTGCTTGTACACTAGCAAGGATGGGCAATTTGTGACCCTCCAGATATTTGGTCTACAATTCCCATTAGTTCTAACATAGCCCATGAAGAGGGGCGAATGGGAGTTGTAGGCCAACAAAGGCAAATTCCTCCTTCATGAATCACTGCCTTGTTATGCCGAAGGGGCTTGCATAGCTCAATGAAGCTATGAGCTATGCCGTGCAGGGCCACCCAAGACAGACAGGTCATAGCAGAGAGCTCTGACAAAACGTGATCCACTGGAGAAGGAAATGGCAACCCACTCCAGTATCTTTGCCATGAAAACCCCATGGACAGTACCAAAAAGGCAAAAAGATATGATGCCGGAAGATGAGCCCCTCAGGTCGGAAGGTGTTCAACATGCTACTGGGGAAGAGCAGAGGGCTAGTACTAGTAGTGCCAGAAAGCGTGAAGCGACTGGGTCAAAGCTGAAACGACACTCAGTTGCGGATGTGAACTGCAAACTTCACCTGGTGGTGAAAGGAAAGTCTGATGCTGCAAAGATCTCTACTCCATAGGAACCTGGAATGTAAGATCCATGAATCAAGGCAAGCTAAATGTGGTCAAACAAAGAGATGACAAGACTGAACATCGACATCTTAGGAATCAGTGAATTAAAATGGACAGGAATGGGTGAATTTAATTCAGATGACCATTAAGTATACTACTGTGGGCAAGAATCCCTCAGAAGAAATGGAGTAGCCTTCATAGTCAATAAAAGAGTAGGAAAAGCAGTACTGGGATACAACCTCCAAAATGACGGAATGATCTCAGTTCGAATCCAAAGCAAAGCATTCAACATCACAATAGTCCAAGTCTATGCCCCAACCACTGGTGCTGAAGAGGCTGAAGTTGACCAGTTCTGTGAAGGCCTACAACACCTTCTTGAATTAACACCAAAAAATGATGTCCTTATCATCATGGGAGATTGGAATGCTAAAGTAGGAAGCCAAAAGATAAGTGGAATAACAGGCAAGTTTGGCCTTGGAGTACAAAATGAAGCAGGGCACAGGCTGGTAGAATTTTGTCAAGAGAATACGATGGTCATAGCAAACACTCTTTTCCAACAACCCAAAAGATGACTCTACACATGGACATCACCAGACGGTCAACACAGAAATCAGATTGACTATGTGCTCTGCAGCCAAAGATGGAGAAGCTCTATACAGTCAGTAAAAACAAGACCAGGAGCCAGCTGTGGCTCAGATCATGAGCTTCTTGTTGCAAAATTTAGGCTTAAATTGAAGAAAGTAGGGAAAAGCACTAGGCTACTCAGGTATGACCTAAATCATATCCCTGATGAATATACAGTAGAGGATACAAATAGATTTAAGGAATTAGATCTGATAGAGTGCCTGAAGAACTATGGACGGAGGTTTGCAACATTGTACAAGAGGCAGCAGCTAAAGCCATCCCAAAGAAAAAGAAATGCAAGAAAGCAAAATGGCTGTCTGAGGAAGCTTTACAAATAGCTGAGGAAAGAAGGGAAGCGAAAGGCAAGGGAGAAAGAGAAAGATACACCCAACTGAATGCAGAATTCCAGAGAATAGCTAGAAGAGATAAGAATGTCTTCTTAAATGAACAGTACAAAGAAATAGAAGAAAACAATAGAATAGGGAGGACCAGAGATCTCTTCAAGAAAATTGGAGACATGAAGGGAACGTTTCATGCAAAGATGGGCATGATAAAGGACCAAAATGGCAGGGACCTAACAGAGGCAGAAGAGGTTAAAAAGAGGTGGCAAGATTGCACAGAGGAACTATACTAGAAAGAGCTTAACATCCCTGATAACCATGATGGGGTGTTCTCTGATCTCGAGCCAGACATCCTGGCATGTGAAGTCAAATGGGCCTTAGGAAGTCTGAGCAACAACAAAGCTAGTGGAAGTGACAGTATTTCAGCTGAGCTATTCAAAATCTTAAAAGACGATGCAGTAAAAGTACTATACTCAACATGCCAGCAAATTTGGAAAACTCAACAGTGGCCACAGGATTGGAAAAGGTCAGTTTACATTCCGATCCCAAAGAAGGGCAATGCCAAAGAATGTTCAAACTACCGCACCATTGCACTCATTTCACACGCTAGCAAAGTTATGCTCAAAATCCTACAAGCTAGGCTCCAGCAGTATGTAGATGGTGAACTACCAGAAGTGCAGGCAGGATTTCGAAGAGGGAGAGGAACTAGAGATCAAATTGCCAACATACGCTGGATCATGGAGAAAGCTAGGGAGTTCCAGAAAAACATCTACTTCTGCTTCACTGACTATGCTAAAGCCTTTGATTGTGTGGATCACAACCAATTGTGGCAAGTTCTTAGAGAGATGGGAGTACCAGACAATCTTATTTGTCTCTTGAGAAACCTATATGCAGGTCAAGAAGCAACAGTGAGAACTGGACACGGAACCACTGATTGGTTCAAAATTGAGAAAGGAGTTTGGCAAGGTTGTATACTGTCGCCCTGCCTATTTAACTTATATGCAGAGCACATCATGAGAAAGGTGGGGCTAGATGAATCACCAGTTGGAATTAAGATTGCTGGGAGAAATAACATCCTCAGATATGCAGATGATGCCACTCTAATGGCAGAAAGTGAAGAGGAACTAAAGAGGCTCTTGATGCGGGTGAAGGAGGAGAGTGCAAAAGTTGGCTCGAAACTCAGCATTAAGAAAACTAAGATCATGGCATCTGGTCCTCTCACTTCCGGGCAAATAGATGGGGAAGAAATGGAGGTAGTGACAGATTTTATTTTCCTGGGCTACAAGATCACTGCAGATGGGGACTGCAGCCAAGAAATTAAAAGACGCTTGCTCCTGGGGAGGAAAGCTGTGGCAAATCTAGACTGTACACTAAAAAGCAGAGACATCACCCTACCAACAAAAGTGCACAGGCAAGGCTATGGTTTTCCCAGTTGCACTGTATGGCTGTGAAAGCTGGACCATAAGGAAGGCTGAGCGCCGAAGGATTGAGGCCTTTGAATTGTGGTGCTGAAGAAGACTCCTGCGAGTCCCTTGGACCACAAGGCGATCAAACCAGTCAATCCCAGGGGAGATCAACCCTGACTGCTCTTTAGAAGGCCATATACTGAAGATGAAACTCAAATACTTTGGCCACCTAATGAGAAGGAAGGATTCCCTGGAGAAGAGCCTAATGCTTGGAACAATAGATGGCAGAAAAAGAAGGGGACGGCAGAGGATGAGGTGGCTAGATGGAGTCACTGAAGCAGTCGGCGTGAGCTTAAGTGGACTCCGGGGGATGGTGGAGGACAGGAAGGCCTGGAGGAATGTTGTCCATGGAGTTGCGATGGGTCGGACACGGCTTCGCGACTAACAGCAGCAACAACAACAAAGGCAAATTCAGACGTCCGTATTCTTCCAGCCTAGTGAAGCGAAGGTGCTCACGGAGAAGAAAGAGTTAAGAATGAGTTCGCCCTGCACGTGACCCCGTTACCGCCTCTTTATTCTAATTGGCCGGGCGGCGGAGGCGAGTCTTGCTGCGTCACGTCTCGTGTGCTGTGCCCGGATGGAAGCTGCGTCGAATGTCAGCACCGGCGAGATCCGACGTGGAGCTGAGAAGTTGGTTCGGAGGCGCGACGGCGAAAGGCCAGGGCTCCCCCGGGAGAGGCGGGGAGGCTGCACTGGTCAGTGGATTCGCTTGCTCCGCTCCGCTTTGTCAAGCCAAGCCAAGCCGGGCTGGGAAAAGGGAGGGCGGATGCCTTGCACTCCGATGCTGTGCATGCGGACTGCACAGAAGGGCCAGCTGAACTGAGCGAGGCGTGCGCCCGAGTCAGTGCGCAGCCTTTTCCAGCCTGGTGGCCATTAGATCTACGACCCTCATTCCCCTCAGCCTGGAAATGATAGGCATTGTAGTCCAGGGCATCTGCAGGGTGTCCGGTTGAGAAAGTCTTGTAAGATGGCAGTTTGACTGCCAGATTGTGGTGGGGGAAGCGGAGTCTGGACTATTCAGTTAGATGTTGGCGTGTAGCCGGTTGACTTCCCTGAAATTCCCGCAGCACGCTTCTTCCTTCCAAGCTGATGCTGCTGTATTCTGAGAGACGCTGCGGTTGCCTCTTCTGTTGGCTGGTTTGGGCTGGGACGATTCCTTGGTGAATTTCTAAAGCAGTCTTCTCTAACCTGGTGTCCTCAGAAGGACTTGGACTGGAACCCCTCAGCATCCACCAGCCAGCTAGCAGCCAGGTCAGCAGCCTGGGGAAAGCTGTGAAAGGGGTCTGTAGTTAGTCCACAACCATCTGCAAACCGACAGTGTTCTGTGAGAAGCATGGTAATTCAGAAATGAAAGGTTTTTGGGTCCAAACACTTCAGAAGAAAACTCAGAGCTGTGGGCATATTTCAGCTGGGGGTGCTATTCTTGAAGGCTCAGGAGAACTGAAACGAATGGTGCTTAAATGTTACTTAACTTTTACAAGATGGTGCCTTATCATGCAACCAACAGTGCTCTCATATCCATGTTTACTTGGGAGTTCCATTTTTTCCCCAAGATTTGGGCTTGTTTCCTAGTAAACATGATTGAAATTGCATTATACTATGAAACATCCTGAGGTTATCCTCATAATGTATACATTTAAAATTCTTCACACCCTTTTCTTCTTCTCTTACATTTCACAAGGTTGCAGTTGCAATCTTGCACACAAAGCTTTTTGGGGTGGTGGTGGAGGGGCAGATGGATCTTCTTATGCTCATGACTGTGTACAAGTGTGGAGAGGGGGTTGTCAGCACTGTATGGTACTGCAGACGCTGCCTGTGAGCTGTAGGACTGATTTCTAAGCAGGGCTGTGGAGTCGGTACATAAAACATTTGACTCTGACTCCTCAATGTATGGTACCTTCAATTTCGACTCCTTTATATATTGATATAGGAAATAAATATGCTAATTATTTCCTATATTGATTAAAAGCACTCAACCTATAAGACATTTCATCACTGCCAGGATGACTCATCAGGCTACTTTTTAGAACTCTAACCTGTTAAAATATATCCTGAAAAAGATAGATTACTCAAATCTCTGTGAAATAAGAAATTTTAACTTATTATCTATATTACAATTTAAGTTTATTAGGAGTCTGAATTGGTACGTTTTTAACAACTCTGACTCCAGTAACCCAAGAATTGCTTCCAACTCCACAGCCCTTTCTCTAAGGGCACAGTCCCACTGATTGCATGCTTGATCCTCAGCATCCTCTGAATTTGGAGGCTTATGAGCATCCAGAGCATGGCAACAGGGACACCCTTCTCTGCTTATCCCATTCTGCAGTTCAGCTCGATGGCCAATGTTAGCCATCTACCTGGGGCTCTTAAGAATGGGTAGCGGGGGAGAAAGCTAAAGCATTGCCAGGACACCCTTGTCCCTGATGACCCAAATCTTTCCCCTCCCATTTACTGTCTCTCTCTTTGGAGGGAATTTTCCAACCTTGGAAAAGCAGGCAGTAGTCCTTTTCACACTGGCTGTGAGTGGGGAGGAGAACACAGTACAGATCTCCAGCCCTGAGGTCTGAGCTGTTTCCAGTCTCAGAATCCAAGGTAGCTCCGTAGATGTTGTCTAGGAGATGATAGGATTGCTCACTAAAAGGCTTTTCCTTTTAACATCCCACTGTTTTTTGTTTCAAGATGCACCCTGTACTGAAAGCCTTTGTTTGTGGTTCCATCAGTGGGACCTGCTCCACCCTGTTATTCCAGCCTCTAGACTTGCTTAAAACCCGGCTGCAGACCTTGCAACCCTCTGTCAATGGGTAAGTGTTTGAAATTTCCATTAGGGTCTCTGCATTTAAGAGTTCGTATTGGAGATGGGAAGACTGAGAGCTGCTTGGTGAGGGAGCAAGCAGAGAAATTCTAGAAGTGTTCACAAGGCCATGATGGTGAAGAATATATATCAGTCTAGTTTTTAATCTAGCAAAAGGCACCTTTGTGATGCTATCAGTCATTCAATAAGCAAGATATTATATAGCATAGAATTCTTCCAAAAGATGAATATTGGTTACAATATTCTTTTTGCCATTGGACTCAGAAAAAATATTGAGATAACATATCTGAGACAGTACAGGTTGAGTGACTGATACAGCTAGACATGTCCTGAAAAACATGTGGCTGACATTTGCAATAGATCCCAAGGAGTAGAGATGCTTTCAGTCTTCCTTATTATCACAGAAATTAAAATAGAGATCATGAAGTACAACATAGTCTATTCCATCTTTCCACATGCTGATTAGTTGGTTATAGTCTTCACAGCTAAGAGGGGTGAAGGCTCAACCCACTTGGTGCATTACATGGACATGGAGCATCTCATTTCAGTGTGGCAAAGTGAGTTTTACTATTCAGTAGATCTCTGTACTTACCTGTGTAGTGCTTCAACAAAAAGCATGTGAAAAGGATTTTGTTGTGCTATATTTTCCTGGGCTTCTGTGTCAGCTGATGTCCTCCAGATCTCTTGGACTACAGCTCCCATCATAGATGGGTAGATGGAAGCTATAGCCTAACCCAGCCAAAGAGCATCTGACTGGGGAAAGTTTCTGTAGATGGACTGTAGACAATTTTTAATATCTGACCTGGTTTCCCTTCCAGATTGGGTCGCGTTGGGATGGTAACACTACTCTTCAAGGTTGTTCGCACAGAAAGCATACTGGGGCTATGGAAGGGTGTCTCTCCTGTAAGTTCTCTCCATAAACAATGTGTATCTTTTTTCATTGGACTTGTTGGAATGAACTTAATTTTTCTTCTTTGAAACTGACACCATAAGCAGAAATCTTCATTGTTACCCTCTTTTTCTCTAAAAAAAACAAAATGGCAAAATAAGCATTAACATGTAAAGATTATTAAATTATTAAGATTATTAAATAAATAAAAATAAATAAAATGAGGCTCCACTAGGCATAGAGGGGCAGCATATAAATGCAAAAATAAATAAATACATAAAGCATAAATCTAAAGCAAATGGTGACCCATTCAGTGCTGAGCAGGTACAACTGTGCTCGAGAAAAATAACATTTGGACTCAATGTCATCTGAAGCTGCCATCCCTGAAATGGGCCACATATTTCTCATGCACAGATCAAGTAGGGAGTTATGTTTGAATGTTGCAGGGGGACTCTTGCTTGGTGGGTGCTTTTTAAATTGGTGCAGAAAACTTGCCCATTAGCATTCCATCTTCCGGATGCACTTTGTTCCCCTGGTTGGTTAGCTGGTTTGGTTTTGGTAAATATCTCTTTGCATTGGTTTGTCATTGAATCCCAATGGCCTTACCAAAAGCATAGAAACAACCTCAATCCCATAACGTAGGGTGTATGGTCAGTTAAGTCCCCTGGCTCCTTCCTGTGTCCCTCTAAAATCAGAATCTGGTGGTAACTGGTATCTATGTGTAAAGTGTGCAAATATTTCTTACGCCTTCTGGTTTCACAAACAGCATATATTTGACTGTATATCTATATTAGTCTCCTGGGATCCATTACTGCTTCTCCTCCCAAGTCTGGTGTGCATATCCTTTTTCCCACCCATTCACCTTTTCTCCCTCACTCCAGCTCTGAGTTCACATAGAAGGGGAGAAATGAAGTGTTCTTTTTTTCTGAAAAATACAGGCTCAGATTTACAGCCAAACTATCCACCCTGGGTTTTGGGCCTGTCCAAACATATATGTTGAATATGTCATAGAGCTGCCTTTCCCAATTTAGCACCCTGAAGATGAGTTGGACTAGAACGGCATAATCCCTCTGTTAGGTGACTGCAGATTATCAGAACTGTATTGTAACTTATCTTGAGGCCGCAAAGTTGGAGACAGCTGCCGTAGAGTTTCCATTCTGGATTTTCCTCTAAATACCTTCTCTTGTTTCTGTTTGTCCTTATTTCATAGTCCTTTGCAAGATGCATTCCAGGTGTGGGAATTTACTTCAGTACCTTATATATGATAAAACAACGTCTCCTGCTGGATCGCCCCCCAACAGCCCTGGAGTCGGTTCTCTTGGGTGGAGCCTCGCGTACGGTAGCCGTTGTGTGCATGTTGCCAATCACCGTGGTGAAAACACGCTATGAGGTGAGAGGGTTTTGTATCTTGTTTTTTAAAGCTAGAGAATTTCAGCAATCTCTCTTCTCTCAACTACTTCATGCAGTTATTTTCTGCTCTTCACCAAGTTGGGTTTTTGGCATAAGTACTCGCCCAGCCTTTTTGTGGGGCACTGTTTCACATCTTTCTTTGGTTTGCAGAGTGGAAGGTATGGTTACGAAAGCGTATGTGGAGCTCTGAGAAATATCTATCGGTCAGAAGGTGTCCAGGGCTTGTTTAGTGGTCTGACGGCAACACTCCTTCGTGACGCACCCTTCTCTGGTGTCTACCTAATGTTCTACACGCAGACCAAAAAGATCGCTCCATATGGTAAGGGCTCTGTAGTCTTGTATTCAACATAGGACAGCCAGTGTGGTACCTTGGTTAGAATGTTGGCCTGGGGGACATGGAAGACTCAAGTTCTAGTCCTCACTTAGGCATAACGCTCACTAATTTTGGACTAGTCACAGACTGGTCAGCCCAGCCTACCTTGCAGGGTTGTTAGGATAAAAATGGAGTGGAGGAGGACTGTGTAAACCACCGTGCGTTCCTCACAGGAGGAAAAAAGGCAGAATATAAATGCAGTGTTGACGTTGTTGTCATCCTAGCACAGGATTGTAGTCTTCTGTAGGGGCAAAAGGCTCCAAATGGAAATTCAGTAACATCATCCGGTGAGCAACCTGTCAAGTCAGCAATTTAGTATGGCAAGATTACTATTCAATACTGAATAGTACAGTGGAACACATACCTGAGTCAGCACAGGAGAATGGCACAGACGCAAGTGAGATTGCTTTACATACAGATCTTATCTTATATGTAATATTATAAAGTTGTGATAATGCCGTAACATTCAGTGCTGATTAGAAATCACCTGAAGTGTCAGAGCCAGTGGAATATCATGCTTAAAATAACTATGCTGAAACTAGAAATAGATCAAGACAAGTAGTAAAAGAACAGAGGAAAGGGGCTAGGTTTAACATGGATTAAGGAACAGTTTTTGGAAAGTTGAACTGGGGCCAGAACTGTGGAAACCATTGAGAAATAGTGTGGCTTGCCTAAGGGAGTTGGAATTCCTTTTTGTCAGAAAAGACAATTTCCAGAATTGTGTCACTATTAATTAGGCCTCCTTGGAGGTCACAAAATACTGTGCAGGGGTTTGAGTTATTTTTATTAGTAAACTTTTTCAAAGCATCTGTCATTGAAGTACGTTATAATTAAGGGAGACTTGACATAAACCCTTGAATCTTTCTGATCCATTCTCCTAGCAATCTAGGTGCAATTTTTTAAAAAACAAAAATGCTTTGCTCCTTTACAGACCAGCTGGATGCAGCACTTGCACCTTTAGTGAACTTTAGCTGTGGAACTATTGCTGGTATTCTGGCATCACTGGCAACTCAGCCTGCTGATGTCATCAAAACCCATGTACAGCTTTCATCCGAAAAATACCTTCGAACAAGCCAGGCGATTGCTTTGATCTTCAAGGTATGGCTGAATGCATTAGTTAATTAATCCCATTTTAACTTTTTTCTTTTCCTCAAAGGAAGTGGAAAGCTTCCAACCTTGTGAGTCGACTTAGGCTGGCACAGTTAGTTAGAAACTTCTAGTGGTCAGGAAGGACTTTCACCCTGTCTTCCTTTGCTGAGTCTCCAACAGCCATTCCTGAACATTTGAGGACAGGCATCTATTTGTGCTTTGTGCACTGAGTTACGCAGCCATTCCTTCTGAGTGTTCCTTGCAGTGGCTTCCCAGGGTTTCCAACAAGCTTCTTAATGCCAGAGAATGAACCCTGCAAAGCAGTTGCTTTATCAGCAAGCTACATCCCACCCGATCCACAAGGCTTGACACCTTCTCCCCTAAATATATATCACCAAATTTTAGAATGTCAATAAATTGCTTAATCCCAGAGTTTTTCATCTGGGCATCTTCTTGTGTGGGCACACATGTGTCTGTGCCTTCCTAAGCATCTTTGTTCTTGTTTTACATTTCTCCTAATTTGGCTCTTAAACTGGCAGTGTCAGAAGAATATCTTTGAATGACTGATGTAATTGCCTGAACTTGCTAGGTATACCTTTATGGGTGTACTGAGCTGCAGCTGCTCAGCGTTTTTATCACTGTTGAATATCTTGGATTGCCTTGAGGCTGGAACAATAATGCTATTCCTTAAACAGGAAGCACAAGGAACACAGAGGTTTCATAAACCATATCTATCTCCTTTGGCCACAAAATTAAAAATACAAAGATATAATATATAACCCCTTTAAAGAAATTTATTTGGATTAAATATTGTTCTATAAACTCAGATAAGTATTGAATGGTGCATGTGTGCAATGATTTGCTCCACTGGACCTCTTTATATTCCCAGGTTCAGATGTCTGTTCTGAATGATCTGAAGGCTTGAACTGTTCAGCAGTTTCCTTTGTTAGATACTTGTGGAGATCAGCTGAACTCATACAAAATCTTTTTTAGTGGCAAATGAGGCCACCAATGTCAAGTTAACATGTGTGCCTGCTTATATAGCTGAAGGCAGGGGTGGACAACCTGTGGTCCTCCAGTTGTTTTGGCCGGTAACTCCCATCTTTCTCCCTGAGGGGCTGGTTGCTAGGGTTGATGGAAGTTGTAGCCCAAAACATCTGGAAGGCCACAAGTTGCCCACCCAGTATGGGACATCCTTACCCCCACCCCTTTGTGTCACGTGAGATTCAAAGAATAAGAGCAGGACACAGGATTGTGTGTTCCGCCTTGCATACACACTGACCTTGCTCTCCCTTTTGCCTGGGCAAGGAGGAAACATCTCCAAGCTGGAAAAAGCCTGTGTTGCAGCAACAGGCAGGAGAAAACTAGCCAACCAACAGCATTCCAAAAAATAGGTGCATTTCTTACATGAGGGATGTTTAGGAAGTGTGGGAGAGAGAGAGAGAGAAATACTTCTAGTCACCTTAAGGATTCATTTCAATTTGAGAATCAGAATAATTTGCTTCTGGCTTTTGTGTGCCATTAAAGTATTCAGGAGTGTGAATGTTCAAGAGTAACAGCAGGGCTTGCTTGCTTTCTTCTTGCACAGGGTTACGGAATGGCTGGCTTTTTCCGCGGCACTGTTCCCAGGGCCCTGCGGCGCACACTGATGGCAGCAATGGCGTGGACTGTGTATGAACAGATGATGTCTAAAATGGGCTTGAAATCTTGAATGGCGCCTGTGTTGGTGGACAGTCGGCCTAATGCTGTTCCTTTATTCAGAGCGATTGTTTGGTGAGACGAGCGTTTTACGTAGTTGCACATTGGAGGTGACCCGCACCATCGCTGGAAAGGCACTACTTGATTTCTAAAGCAGTGGATTGAGGACCTTTTGAAAGACAAGAGAGTGGAGAAGAAGTTTGCTCTGGTCATCATGGCATAAGCATTCCAGGAAGAATGTCCCATAACGGGGTATGAGGAGTACACAAACACTAATAATTGTGTGGAGCTGTGTGATGTGCTGCTAAAGCCCACCATGTGTGGAGGAACCCTTCTCAGGAACCCTTGTCTGGCCACCTACTGTGAACAGCTTCTGCGGGATGTAGCAACAACTCCTAAAGACATGTTGGCGGTTGGGGCTTCTGAACCTGGCAGCCTCATTACTCTCCTTAACTTCCGTCTGCTCAGGTGTGCACTGCCTCTCCTATTGGCTGTCATTTTCAGTGTGTGGTGTTGTTGTACATCCAACACAGAATGCACAGGAGAGTCTTACAGAGGATTATGGGCAGTTGATCTCTTTCAGAAGCTTGCCTAATGCAGTACTTTGTGTGCTAAGTATTAAAAGAATGAGTGAACTCCGTGACTGCAAGCAGCGCTAGGCCATGTGATCTTGCTGTTCCTTATGGAAGGCGTCAGCCCACTGTAGGTCAGAGTAACCGGGGGGTCACAGCTCTGAGCAGCTGTAGGCAGCATAGGCATTTGGAAGGGGCATGGGAACTGTAGGCCCAAATGCTTGGAAGTTGCTCATTTCTGCTTTGTACGATAGTGTTAGTGTGCTCAGCAATGCAGTCTTGGAAGCATCATGCATAAGTCCCTTGCTTCCGCTTGACTGTATTTCATTGACTTAAATGGTCATCATTAAACACTCCTAAACTTTTTCGGACACAGTGTCATTTTTCTTATTTATTACAAAGCTAGTGAGTGAAATTCCACTTTGAAGCATTATCTGTCTCAGTCACACTGTGTGACTGAGATAGTGGGGATGGCGTGGTGCTCTAGATTGTGTAGGGCTATCATCAGCAGCAGATGTTGTTAATGATGGGAGTTATAATCCAACAGCTGGAAGGCAGTATCTTGGTCAGCCCTGGTCTAAATGTTACTCTAGGCTGCTGTGTTCATTAAGCCTGACTTGTTTGCCTTGATCCTAGCTGAGCATGGCCTTACCTTTTTAACTGCAGTTCTTACTTTCAAAGATCAGTCTTAAAGTTTGTGCTACAGTTATCTTCTAGTCCTCAACCTGGTTTCATTCAAGGTGTGTTGGACTATCATCCCCAGCCAGCATGAGGGTATAGATGGGAGTTGTAGTCCTGCACATCTGGAGGCCAAGAAGTTCAGAATTATTGGAGAGAGTAGAAAATCAAAGTGGAGGCAAAAACTCATATCTGAAGTAATGACATCTAAAACAAAAAGTATAAAAATGCCTTCCATGTTAATGAGAACATTCCTAGTCCCTTCAAAAAATCTGAGGTACAATTAAAGGACTTCATTATCTCTTTGGTCTCCATTTGATTCCTAAGACTGGAGAACCTTGTTGTGAGCCATTGATTTTATTATTAAAAGCACTGACTTTTCAGAAAGCTCCATTTATTTTTGTTTATTTGTTTTTGAAGGTTGCAAACATAACTTAATTTCCCCTTTTGTCTCTCCCTCTTCCATTTGGTAGTAGTTCTATGCTTGGAAATAAAAGTTGACAGTCATTAGCAGTTGCACCCACTGCCCAGTTCTGAGAAACAATACAAAGATGGGATGAATTTGCATTTTGCTGTCTTTTTCCCATCTATCTCAAAGAGTAGCTTGGCAAAAAGAGAGCTATAAATGCTCCCAGTTCTAAGTCTGCCACTGGAGTTAAGCAGGGACAACAGATGAAGAAATATCTTCTTATTGGTCTCAGACAGGACCAGAACACTGGAAGCAGAAACATGAAAGGATGCAGAAGTGAGGAGTGTCAAAAGTACCTCCAACCTGATGAAATACCCATGTTTAACGCTGAACCTCACTAATGCTACAGTCAGGCTGGCATAATTTGAGACATGTTTGGGACCCAGGAGACTAATCTACTAGTCCCAACTCAGTCAGGAAGCTCATTGTATGACTTTGGGCCAATCACTGACTCTCAGCTTAAACTTCCTCACAGGGTTGGTGTGAAGATAAATGGAAAGAGAGAGAAGGATTGTGCACACTCCTTTAGGTCTCTTGCAAGAAAAAGATGGGATAGAAATATAAAATAAATACTTTCACCCTTCCACCTTTGAGGTAAAGAATGGAAATGCTAGAATATACCAATGATTGGTGCTAGAGGAGAGGTTTGCATATAGCCTGGACTGGCATCTTTCCCCCTCATTTTCACAAATGATTATGTGCACTGAATAATTTCTGATCATTTACTTTTTCATTGACTATCTGCTTTTCTGAGATATCACCTTTATCCTTTTTATGATAATATACAAATAAATTGAAAACACACAAAAGGAACTACAGCGGTCTCAGCGATGGCAAATCTAGGCAGCATACTAAAAGCAGAGACATCACCCTGGCAACAAAAGTGCGTATAGTCAAGGGTATGGTTTTCCCAGTTGCATTGTATGGCTGTGAAAGTTGGACTATAAGGAAGGCTGAGCGCCGAAGAATTGAGACCTTTGAATTGTGGTGCTGAAGGAGGCTCCTGAGAGTCCCTTGGACTGCAAGGCGATCAAATCAGTCACTCCTAAAGGAAATCAACCCTGACTGCTCCTTAGAAGGACAGGTACTAAAGCTGGAGCTCAAATACATTGGCCACCTAATGAGAAGGAAGGACTCATTGGAAAAGACCCTGATGTTGGGCAGGACTGAAGGCAAAAGAATGGGACAGCAGAGGTTGAGGTGGCTGGATGGGGTTGCTGGGGCGTTGGATGTAGGCTTGGGTGAACTCTGGGGGATGGTGGAAGACAGGAAAACCTGGAGAAATGTTGTCCATGAGGTTGTGAAGAGTCCGACACAACTTTGTGACTGAACAACAACAGTGGTCTCATCAGTGGCTGCTGCTCAAGCAGCTCAAGCAGCTCAAGCATGAACTGCCCCAAACAGTTCATATTCAATGCCAAAAATAATGCAACAGCCAGTATTCCCAAGGCAGCTATTAACAAGGGGCAAGTATGCTCAGCCCAGGCCTCTTTCCCAGCATCTGCTAGAGGCAAGTGTGCCTGGCTGCTTTTCAGAGCCCTTCACGGGGGCAGCTGGTGGGGACTGGCACAGGACAGAGGCAACTTGGGTGCCTGGCAAGGGGCCCAAATGGAGCTGAGAGCCAAAAGCCTTCATCGCCAGGTGTTCCCAGGCCGTCTCCCGTCCAAGTACTGCCCAGACTGGACCCTCTTTAGCTTCTGAGGTGAGATGGAGAATCTTCAGAGTGGTTCTGCCATGGGCAGCAGAAGTGCTCGCTTCGTCCTGGGGCGCTGCTGATGCCAACCAGGCTTTCTTGCTGAGGGCTCCCTGGCTGAGGGACTCCCTCCTCGCCTCCCGTGTGTCTGCCGCTGCAGGCCAGAGCAGTTCAGTTCGAGCCACTCACTTTCCAGCAGCTGCCCTTGCTGGGCAGTGGCAAAACAACCCCCCCCCCATCCATGCCCCGCCCCTGGACGGACATGGCTTGGCACAGGCAGGCAAGGGCCAAGCAAGCGTGCCACAGACACAGGCAGCCAGCCCCAGCCCACCCCAGGGCTCCCGTGAAGGCTTGCCACAGGAAGAAGGAAGGCGGGCGGGCAGACGAAGCGGGGCGGCTGGCCAGCTCTGTCACTGCGCTGTACATTTTTCCCTGCAGAAGGACGAACGCCCCCGGGTCGCCTGCCGCCTGAGGAAGCAGTGCCCTTAGAAGCCGTCTCCCCAGTGTGTGCAAAGGGAGAAGCACCGCGCGCCGCGCTTGCCGCTGCCGCCCCCTCCTGCGCGTGCACGGAACAGGCCTCGAGTATCGTGGGGCTGAGCCCACGGCGACAGGGCCGGGCAGCGGCAAACAGCTTCCTGACACGCGGCCAAAAAAGGAACCGCAGGCAAAAGCCTACAGCACCCGGTATTCCCAGGCAGTCTCCCATCCAAGTACTAACCAGGCCCGACCTTGCTTAGCTTCCGAGATCAGACGAGATCGGGCGCTTTCAAGGTGGTATGGCCGTAGGCAACAGAGAGCTTCATTTTCCCTCTCTTCAAGGACAGGAGCACCACTGGTTTCCTGCTTACATCTACAGTAGTGCCTTCATGCCAAGAGCTACCTGGCTAAAATATCCTTCCAGCCGCCTCAAACAGCAGCCCACAAGCCGTTCGCCTCGCTCCACCTCCCGCTTGCAAGGCTCTCGCTCAGCGCGTGGACTTGCATTTGTTGGGCCCTGGCAAGCCATCATCTAGATTTCACCTGGTAATATAATTATATGCAAGGAGGAGCGAAGGTTATCTTTCAAAACCTTATGCTCCCCGGATGATTTGAACTCCCATTAGCCCCCGCCTGTACAGCTGATGGTTAGAATTGCCTTGAAATGCTGATCAAAACCACTGGAGGGCTCTTGGGTGGAAGGCTAATTTCTGCTCTGGAGCTCCATTTTCTTTCTTTTTTTAAAACTACATATAATGTTTGCATATATACATATAATTCCAACTATTAAATAGAGATTCCATGGAAAAATTCACGATACTTTTGCACCATTTCTTTTTCCTCCGGTGCTGGAAACACGTGGCCGATTTCTAATAGAGACAAAAGACAACACTGTAACCCTAATCACAGAAAGTAAGGGTAATACCTAATTCTCCACATCGATCCGTATTCTCAAACTCTAATTTCATTTATGGCACACCTTTTCCTTGGCACGTCTAGTTTAAGAGTCCAACCAATGAAGCTACACCCAATCGAACGTGGGGCAATCTTTGCAAAGAATAGCAAACAACGGCAGAATTCCTACAGCGGAAAGCGTACTAATTTACCGAAGGAAAACTCATAGAGTCTGTTGAAGTGGTCTTCAGAAATACGTTACTTCACCTTTTGTTTCCCCGCACATGGCTGCCATCAAAAGCACTGCCATAACACTCATACTGCGATAGGGCCGTCGTTCCGCTATAGAGCGACCGTGACGTCACTGCACTCGCAGAGACGTTGCAGTCTATTGGTGGATGGGCGCTATATATAGACGTCATCGGGCAGCGCGGCCTTCTTTTTCTCCGACCCCAGAGAGGCCTCCATACGGCGTTGTTACCGCGTGAGTCCCGTGCGGCGGCGGCGGAGGCGGCCATAGGCCGCGTGTAGGGTCGGGAGAGGGGAAGGAGTCTTCGTAGGGTAAAACTGGGGTTAGAAAGGCAGGAGCGGCCAGCCCCCCTCCCCCCGGCCCTTGCGACTTCCTGCCCGGCTAGGAGTTTAATGCGTCCGAACTACGGCGAGACACTCACACTGGAGACGTAGAAGCCGCGTTTCCCTTTCTTTTTCGCAGTTCTTGCGAGGAGGGCACATTTCGTACTAAAGAAGCCCGTCCTGCATGCTTCACTTACTGATTTATACTCATCTTAATAAAACGATGCTGTTTGCTTAATTCATGTTCACTCAGGATTCCATCCAATGTTAGTCTACTTTAAATCCCGTCTATTTGACTGGGCCTGCTCGAAATAGGACTAACATTTGTTGGCCATTCACCCAAGTAGTCGTACATCTAAATGAAAAATATTAATGGAATACGTATTAAAAAGGTGCTACATACTTAAAAGACATATATATTTTTCCTCTCCAAAATGGTAGGCTTATTCTTAAGCCAAAATGGTTCTCAGAGTAGAAGTCAAAACAAGACAGCTCGTGCCCACATGCGATCTTAAAAGACATGCCAGGCAAGGAAAAGGGGATGATAAGGGGAAGAGTTAGATAATATTTCTGCAGGGTTGGTGGAATAGGCCTGCTTCAACTATTGTCTGCTATAGAATGGCTACAGATAATAACAGCAAAATGCATTATTAATAATAATTGCAGACATTTATCTAGACACTAGTTCTTAAAGTTCTAGACACTAGTTCTTGCTCTTTTAATCAGCTTGGATGAAAATAGTTGAGGGAAAAGATCTGTTAACTTTTCCAATGAATATTTCTGCATTTCCTGCCATTTAGTCCTCCAGTAACTTATTGGAACTTGTTTAGATTAAAGATGCTATAATTTTAAGTAGAAATTTATCAACAGTTAGCATTATGATGGTTACTTAAATGTAATTTGCCCTTTTGTCCAGGTAGTTAAGTCCTACTGTGGCAAAAAGCCAAAGCTTTTTAATATTACCAAGTTGGAAAACTTAAATGGCATTTGCAGCTCAACAGTGACTGCCTTAAAGAATTTTGCAATCTTGCATTCTCTGCAAAAACAATGGCCATTTTTATAGATAGGAATTGGAGGTTGACAGTAGTGGACTTCCAAAAGCTATATGATGGGTGGTATTACAATATTAATAACTCAGCTGATTCTGTTGTTCCAGGTTTCCTGTCGTTGCTTTAAAAGGAAACTTTCACAATGTCCGGAGGTCTTGATGTCCTACAGATGAAGGAGGAAGATGTCCTCAAATTCCTTGCTGCCGGAACCCACTTGGGTGGTACCAATCTAGACTTTCAGATGGAACAGTACATTTATAAAAGAAAAAGTGATGGTAAGCAAGTAGTAGCACATGAAACTTAATAGGGAATCCTTTATTTGTTGTCGGCTGTAGTGATGCCTGAGTTAACAGTGCCCCTTGAGCACTGAATACTGAATCTCAAATTTCTGTATGCAAACTCCCTTTTGATCTTTTTGGTACCTTTCACTTTCTTTCATCCTGTTTCTTGCTAACAATGGAAAATGCACGTACTTAATTCAGTCATTCTTATTAATGGAACTTTATTATGCTTCATTTTGGCTGGGACTATTCTATATGTCTTGCATCTATTTTAGAGGGCTACAAGGCTGGGTGATATTTAGGAGGGCTTTTTACAAATGGCAGGACTTTTTGGCATGTAATAATAATTTTGCTAACGGGAAGCTCATGCACCACCAGGTCCTGGCTGTTGCACTGAGTGAATTATGCACCTGGTGTGCTGGCAGGGGTCCAAATGATTTCATGGGCGTGACTCTACCTCCAATATCATTCAGCCTAACAACTGCCAGAAAACATTTTCTCCCATCCTAAACTATATGGTCGGTTTGCAATAATATTACTCTGTTTATCACAGCATATCTGTTGCTGGCTTGAATAAGAGTCAATGTTTGGGAAGCAGGTTAGTACACTACATGTTCTGATCTAACTGCACATTATTAAAGCTCAGGGCTGAGACCAGTTTCTGGCCAATGAACTCCTGAGTGTCGGAAGTGTGCTAAAATAAATGCTGGCAGGATTTTCGCTAACACCAGTAGAGTTATTCTCTGTGACTGGCGTTTGATAGTAGTCTCTGCCATATGCCAAGTTTGATTAAATAGTTGTGATAAATGATTGGATACTTGGTGGATTTGGAACTCTGGATTTATTGAATGGGAGAGGGGACCCCCTTTTGCAGAAAGTTAACTTCAACTGTGTAACTTTTATCATGCTCTTAGCTTCTATTTCAGCACTGTTGTAAATTGCCCAGAAAACTGTTCAGAAATGAAATAAGAACATCATTTAGTGAGATGACTAGAGAACAGAATAGGAAGCAAGAAATGCAGTGACCTTCATGCTACTTGCACCTTACTTTGGCCTTCCATTTTCAAATGGAGGCAGAAACAAGGTAGTTTGTGCATTGCGAATAGAGTTTTGGGAATGCTGTCTTCTCCATGCACCTGCTCTTGTCCCTTTCTCCATGTACTTTCTCCATGTACTCCCATGTCCAAGGGAAGGGCATAACACACAGCAGGCGGGTCAGCACATGTACACCTTATTGCCAATCTTTAATTTAGAATCATTTTGCTTTTTATTTAGGTATCTATATCATCAATCTGAAGAGAACTTGGGAAAAGCTGCTTTTAGCTGCCCGTGCCATCGTTGCCATTGAGAACCCAGCTGATGTGAGCGTCATCTCTTCCAGGAATACTGGACAGGTATGGATGTGTTTGTAGAGACGTCTCTTGATTGCATGGCTCATTAGGAAAGCATTGTGATCAGCTTGACCTTTAATGTTTCAACAAATCTGCACAGTACAAAATTTTTCTAAACCTCTTCCTATATGTGCCTACCTGAGCCCTTAGATCATCATTAGAGGTCCTTCTCAGGGAGCCCCCTCTGAAGGAAATAAGGGTGGCTACAAGAAAGGCCTTCTTGGTGGTGGCATTGAACTGGAATTAGCTCCCCAAAGAGGTTTGCCTGGCACCTTCTCTTTATGTTGTGCCAGGCCAAAACCTTTTTATTTACCCAATATTTAACTGTTAAGATACTTTAAATGTTTTTTAATGGTATTGTGTATTTGTTACATTTTATTGCTATTGTGCTTTTCTGTTGTGTCTTTCATTGGTTTGAGAATTGAGGTTATTGGAAGGTTTTACTGTGGTATTTTTTGTGCTTGACTGCTATGATTTGATATAATAAATCAATATTTTTTATGTAAATTGTTATATTTATATTCTATATCCTGCCCAGAGAGCCATTCTGGCTAAAGGAGTGGGAAATCTAATAACATTTAAAAGGAGGCAAGTCTTTATTTAAGTGTCCAGTGCCTCAAAATGGCATTTCCAGATCAGATTGCAATTGAAAATATAAAGTGTATGCTTGAAGGACTGTATTTCATTAAAAAGAATTAGCTGATCCAGCACTGACTGTTTATCTCCCTGTGGTAGCGTGCTGTTTTGAAGTTTGCTGCTGCTACTGGCGCTACACCAATTGCTGGCCGCTTCACTCCTGGCACCTTCACCAATCAGATCCAGGCTGCCTTCCGTGAGCCCCGCCTCCTGGTGGTCACCGATCCAAGGGCTGATCATCAACCGCTGACTGAGGCATCTTACGTAAACATCCCCACTATTGCTCTGTGTAACACAGATTCACCTCTGCGCTATGTGGATATTGCTATTCCATGCAACAATAAGGTAGTGTATGCTGTTTCGTATTGATCCCTTGGTTGTCTTAGGAAAGCTTTTTTTGGGAAATGTTTTGAGTGCGTCTGCTGAAAGTCTGATAATTTCCTTGTTTTACTAGTAGACACAGCTTAGTTTGGAGGGAGAAATGGGTCATATGCACACCGTTAGAGCTCAGAGCTGAGGTCAGTTCCTGGCTGATGAACTTCTGAGTGTAGGAAGTGTGCTACATCAATTTTGGCAGGTTTTTTCGCTAACGCCATTAGGACTTTGCTGTCCAATGAGTGGGGTTTGATAGTGATTCTTGCCACATCTTTGAGAATTTGCTAGCTGGAAAAAATGACATAGGGAAATAGTAGTTTTGCTATATTTTATTATACTTATTTCTGTTCTCTAATTTATTGAACAGTACTTTTAAAAAAAACTTGGTTGCTTGTTTCTTTTTAATGACAGATATACTTGGCTTCTTCACAAGCTTAGCCATATTATCCTGTATATGATTCTTCTGAAAACCTTGATCCTCATGGGTGGATATGTGATATGTTTCAGGGGGCTCACTCTGTTGGTCTGATGTGGTGGATGTTGGCTCGTGAGGTTCTGCGTATGCGTGGCACTATTTCACGCGAGCATCCATGGGAGGTGATGCCTGATCTGTACTTCTATCGGGATCCTGAAGAGGTAACATCCTAAGACTGGTACAAATTTTTCGGATGAGGAAGAAAAGAATGTGTCTCAGAAAAGTAGTATGTACTGTGCTCTGGAGTGTAGGAGCAGTTTTATACACAGTGGTTGAAATCAGTAGTCTTGGTTCTGCTTTCTAGTACATTAAAAGTCTTGTTTGGTGATGTGCTTAAAGTAACACACCCTGGGAAAAAGTTGTTAGGTGACAGCAAAATGATTTTTTATATGATAAACATGGGACAATCCAAATAGATGCCAAAACCCACATGCAGCAAAAGCTAAACCTGTGATGTGTATAATTCTTTTTTCAGATTGAAAAGGAAGAACAAGCTGCAGCTGAGAAAGCAGTTACAAAGGAAGAATTCCAAGGCGAATGGACTGCACCTGCACCTGAATTCACTGCACCACCACAGCCTGAGGTGGCTGATTGGTCTGAAGGGGTTCAAGTGCCCTCTGTGCCAATACAGCCCTTCCCAGCTGGTAAGTATCTGGGGAAATGGAGTTGATAGCTGTATAAGGTAGGCCAGAGGTGAGAAGCCTTATCCTAGGGAAAGCAGCTAGCAGTGAGTGACCGTAGCCCAAAGTGGATAAAAACCAGTACCAAAAGTAGGCAGGCTTAGAGCCAGGCTTGTACACATTCATGCTTCTCATCCATTCACTTTTCCCCACCCCACTTCTCTTATGCTTGTGTGAGCACTGCAGAGCATGGGGAGGGGTTGGTTCTTCCCTCAGAGAACCTCCTTTGGAGTTTAGTTAGGCTTCTTGAAAACTTCCACTGGCACAAATGGAACTACCATGCAGGGATGAAGGGAAGGCTGTGGACCATCTGCGGTTGTTCCACTTTCTGGAGGTTCCCACCTCATTTTTAACCGGTATTTAGATGCAGATCTCTTCAAGATTCCTAACTGTGGCTTTTTCTTTTTCAGAAGATTGGAGTGCGCAGCCTGCAACTGAAGACTGGTCTGCAGCTCCTACTGCTCAGGCAACTGAGTGGGTAGGGACTGCCACAGAGTGGTCCTAATACAACAACCAGAATTCAGGAGGAAGTGAAACTAAAAATAAAGATTTTATGACTAAGCTTGGCTCGCTTTTTCTGTATGCAGTGAAATATTGGTGTGCACTTAAGGACTGTTCCAAGTGAAGAGAGACATGACTTCTCGCACAAGGCTGTTTTTATTGTGTGTGTGTGTGTGTGTGGGTGAACCGTGCATGTCTGATGTGCGCAACTGCTGCTACATGTAAGAAGTAATGTAATCACCTCACCCAGTACCACATCCACCCAGTATGAGAGAATGGTTTTTTATTTATATAGCACTGGGGAAAATGCTATTTTCTATAAATTTTCTAAGAAATGTACAGATACTGGCCAGGTTCACACACCAGGGCAACCAATACCACATAGCTTCCACTGTGTGTGGGTTTTGCACTGATCTCCCAGAAAGATTATAAAGCTCAGCATGGTGACTCCTCTGCCATTTTTCCCCCTCTCAGGCAGCATCCCAGGAGGTATGGGGAAGAATTAGGCTCCTCACTTTGGTAACTGCAACTGTGAGCAGACTTCAGCTCTCTGCTGCTCTTGAGCAATCTGTTGCTCAGTGGGGGAAGGGGAGTCGCTCCTAAAATGCAGCTGAAAGGATGAGCTGGTCAATCAGGCACCCTCCCCTGAGGGAACTGCTCCAGCAGGAAGGCAAAAGGGGGAAACTGCTGGGTAGCACTGCGGAAGGAATAGTGCCACTCCGTTAATTCCCCCTCTGGCTTTGCATGCACCATGGTGAAGTGCCTTCCATGTGTGAATGAACTGGTGGTGGGCACTGCGCACTAGTGGATTTCCCCCCACTTCCCTTTTCTTGCTTCGCCTTCCCAGGAAGGCATCTACCCAGCACTCTCAAAGGTCTCTGGCCAGCCAGAGCAAGGAAAGGGGAACCAGTGCCACTGCCATTCAGCTGCTTCTTGCCTGTTGTATCACTTAGGTGTGTGCAAAGGGGTAGCGCTGGGCATGCAGCTCCCAACTGGGCAGCACCACTACTCGGCTGCTGCTTGCGCTGGTGCTCATGGGAGAGCAATGGTATGGGGGGATCTCTGCAGCCCTCAAGCAGGCAGCAAAGGAATTGACAGCGGAATTGCTTTTCTGGCACTGAAGAACCGATCACCATGGCTGCCCCAGAGCTCTTTAAGGCAGGAGGAGCAGGGACAATTCCGGCAGTTGTGCCAAATGGCACTGTCCAGTTAGCTCTTCTTGCCAAGCTGATCCTTGGTTCTAGCCACAACAGGCTGTGTTTTCTAGATACGGTTGATCCAACAAGCAATTGTACTGAGAAACCATGGAACAGGCCACTTATGTTCATAGTGCCTCAAAACCAAATGTACCACAACGCGCTTCAGATGATATGACAGATCAAAATATGTAAGCACCCACCACTGTGCTGTGTGAACCCACCCAAAGCCATCTCCCGCAAGCTTAGTCTAACAAAGAGCTAGGCAATGTGCCCTTTTTGCCTCGCACCCCTTGAGCTGCACCTTGTAAGGTGCTGCAGGAAGACACTGGTTTACTGCAACACAGCAGTAAAAACAACCAATCAACCAAATCTTGAGTGAAAACAAGGAAGATTAGCTGCTTCAATTTCCTTACAAGTTTCCCACTGAAATCAGTAAATGGTGATTTAATCAGTATTTACTGATTACTGATTTACTTGAAATCAGTAAATGGCAAAAACAATATGCTGCTGAAGAGGCAGTATATTGCCAGGTAATAGACTAGAGATGAGCATCTTCTATTACTGAGGCTTGTACCTTCCCATTCCAGGGTGAGGCCCCCTTGGATGAGGCCCAGATCTTGGTTGGTTTGAGTAATGAAAGCCTGTTCTTGGAGCCGGTGGCCGAGTTACTATCACATGAGGTGGAGGTGCCGCCAAGGATTCTCTTGTACTGCTGACAGAGCTGCTGTTTGTAGCAGCGCTCACCTCTGCCGCAGGACCCTTTTGATTGCTGGTAGACTTGGGCATGTTTTTTTCTAAAAGGAAAACATTTTTTTCATCAATTAACAAACCCAATGACCTTGACTCAACTTCGTGTGCATCACTGTATGGGAAGAAAATAAGTTCTTGGACAAGGAGCAAGCATGTTCTTCAATGCTAAATTCACCACCCCATCTCTGTGTTGTACTAATTGATATTCTTCAAGCTCAGATTTAACAGAAAAAGGTCTGTGACTTCATCTGGATGATGGCAATGTCTACTGCATAAAGTGAATTGGTTGGGTTTTTTTTTTTTCAAATAAATGACTTTAGATAGTACATTTAACAACTTGGTGACCCAAGTATAATAAATACCCAGCAAGATTATTTGCTAGGGTGGCTCAAGCAATACAGATCTAGGGTTGCCCTGGTCCAACAGGCAATGAGTACCTAGTGCCTCTTAAGATATATTAAAAACAGGAAGAAGTAAATCATAATGTTACATGGCTTAAATGTGGAATAAGCATATGTAGCCTGAGTGATGAGATTGACTGCTCTTTCAGCTCTGCCCCCAGAATGACAGACCTGGAACACAATTTGTAGCATTAACAGGTTTAGTCCCTTGTAATGACAAGAAAACTTTTTTTGTTAACCTGCAATACGTATAGAGGCAACCTACTGCCCAGTTTGCAAGTACCAGTAGCAAGTGGCCCAGGTACTGCTGGGGTTACCTGAGAACCAACTATGGGTTGTTTAACCCAGAATTAGTAGATAGTGCCCAAGTTTGCATGTCACAGAATAACCACCAAGTGGGATGATAAGAAGGTGCATATTCAAAATGGTGGCATGTGTTGCAGAAAACAATAGATGAGGTAACCTGTAATTTGCTATTGTTCTGCAGCAACAGTGTCAAGTGCTTGCAATCTCAGATTTTAGAGCCCTTAACATTTTAAAGCATTCTGCTGGACATCACTCCTTAGACGATAGCAGGGGCAGCTATACCACCTGGCAAGGTGGAGTTGTTGCCTCCGGTGGCAGATACTGCAGCAGGAGTGGCAGGAAAGTGGTGGAGAGAGTAGCCGCCTGCCCTAGCCCAGTTGCTTGCAGCAGATGCTGTCTCATCACCAGTGTGGAAAAATGTTCCAGTTGGCTTTTTTGAAAGTGGAAAGGGACAGAGGGGATTTTGCCTCATTCATAGCTGCAGAGAGCAAAAACTAGGACAGCTCTAGATAGCGGTTGCGTGACATAGGGTATGGGCAATGCCAGGATCTCTCTTACTATTGGGAGGATCGTACTTCTGCCTGCTGATGGTGGAAGGGCAGAATCTCAGTTCTTTGCCATGCTTACCAGAAGAAATAGATGGCAGACAGAAGAGCTGCAGCAGCAACTGGGAACAGCTTCTTACCTTCTGCTAGTCTGGGCTCTTCCATGGTTTTTGCACATGGAACAAGCAAGTCTTCTAGATCTTGCAATGCAGGATTGGCAGAAGATTTATTATTCTTTTTGTTCTTTTCTTCCTCACGTTGCTATGCAGATAAAAACAGTGGGTATTATGAAGAAGCTATATTTGGTAAGAGAAATTAGGCAGACTAACTTTGTTACTTAGGCAGAAGATGAGGTGTTAATGTTGGTGCCATTAAAAAAGAGGAAATCTGAAATGCAGCAAAAATAGAATCTGTAT